TCCGTTAAAATCGAAGCAAATCACAAATAGTAAAATTTTGGGAAGCGGATATCCGATCCGATCCGTAAATATATAAATATATGTATATCTTGATTATATTTAACATTTTAAATGTATAAAATTATATAATTATTATTCTAGCATATGATTTTGAACAATTCTATTCAAATTATTACTTATATAAAAGTATTACATAAAACGAAAGAAAGAAAATTATGACAATTATATTTTTTCTTAAATTTTGTGTTGTAACTTCAGCTTAAAAATTACAAAATATATAAATTCACTAGTTCTTTTAAGTTTTATTTTATATATCATGCAAAAAAAACTATTTTTGCAAAGCAAATTTGTATCAAAATCTTAAGATTATTTGTATTAATCAAAATGGATGAGATATCCGTAAATATTCGTAAATATCCGCAAATATCTATTTATTTTCCGGATATCCATTTTTCCGGATATCCGTATTTTTTCGAAGCAAAGCAAATACCAAAATTAGATATCCGTAACATTCGAAGCAAATCACAAATACCTTAAAAACCCAGATATCCGATCCGTGTCCACCCCTACATATAGTCATATGAATGAGTTTACAAGGATGAAGAAGGTATGACTTTCTTTGCACTGTCTCCGTAGCTAATGAGCTCATGATTGGTTCACTTATATGAATGAGAAAAGGCTAATTAGCTAATGGACTAGGCCTTGTAGAACATATTAAAAAACAAAATTGTAACTCAATTGTATAATTTTGATCAACTTAGGTTATGAATGGGAGGGGCGGGACAAAGGTAGATTAAGCAGTTCTCCTGCAATAGGCAGTTCTCCTGCCTTATGTTTACCATTCACCATTTTATGTTTGTAAAAGCAGTTCAAGCGGGAGATCTACATGCAGTTCAATTTTTGTTGTCTTTTAGTAGAAAAAGCAGGAGATCTGCATGTAGATCCCATCTGCTAACATTTGGTGGTGTTGATCTGCCTTTTTTTTTTTTTCCTTTTACTAATAAATAGTTTTATTACAAACACTTAACTTTAAAATATATTTATTTGATTTTATAAATAATGTACAATTATTAACTCAAACTATATAGTTCACACTAATATTATTTGTATCATTTTAAAGTTATAAGCATGATGTCTAATCGCCAAAAAACACAATATTTCCACGAAAAATATAAAATTTTCTACATAAGCGTCAGCAAAAAAATAATTATTTTATATTTTAAAATAATTAATAAATAGAAGAAGTATAAGCTTCTAATAAAATTTTTACAGACATTTTGGCTGAACATACAACATCTGAAATATTTTGTTTTGATATTTGGTGTAATTTTTATTATTTTAATATATGATATATAATGTGAACATATTTTGTCATTTATAATTTATAATAAATTATTTAATCTGTTTTATCTCCATTTTTATATATAAATATTAACAAAGAATTAATAATAATTTTGATCAACTAAAACACTATAAGCATCTTATGGAAAATCCAATAAACATTTAGGCTGATCCTACAACATTTAAATATTTATATTGATATTTGGTATAATTTTATTCTTTTAATATATGATCTATAGTTTTGAATTTATTTTGTCATTCATAATTTATGATAAATTGTTTGATCTGCATCTCTCCTGCTTGATCCGCTTGATCTGCACTTGTCCTGTTTGATCAGCATGAACCGCTTGATCTGCACCGCTTGATCTGCTTTTACCATTCGAAGCCTTAAACAATGTTGTTTCTTACGGTATTACTTTATGACATTGTCAATATAAGCCTGATAAATAATTCTAAAAAATCTTTAAGAACAAAAAGAAAGTCAAATCAAGCTTTACCATTAAAAGAAAAATCCAAACAACAAAGACCAATTTAAGAAAAACCCAAGACGTATTCATTGTTAGAAAGAAGTATATCTAAATAAATAAATGTGGAAACAAAACTTTGTAACGTTTGTTATATGTCTGTAACCTGTTCATGTACAAAATGCCAACCTTTCTTAAAAAATAGATTTATTTCTTTACTTAATTATTGCTATAAACTAAATCTCAAAAAAAAAAAAAAAAGGAAAAAGAAAAGTAGCCGCCTCATCTTCCTCGTCTCGACTCGTTAGCTCTCTCTCTATGGGGAGGCCGATTTAGGGTTTCCTCCTTTTATCAATCGATTTCACCATCTCCCTCACAGCTCCACACCTTTTCTCCGGTAAGCCTACCTTCTTCCTCTCTATCTGTCTACTTTCCCAATTTTAGGGTTTTCTCTACATTAGGGTTGATTCATGTATGATCTCGTATTCATCTAGGGTTTCTCTCTTTCGTCAATTGAACAGATGGGTAATTAGATTTGAACAAAAAGTTTGAAACTTTATATTACTGTAACAAGTTATTTAGGATCTTTAGTTTTGTGGTTAAGTAACTCCATAAACATGTAGTTGATGCTCTCTAGCTGTTTATATTGATTAAAAATAGTTTTTTTTTATTACTTATGAGAAGTTGATTCATCTAATTGCAGGTTGTAAGTTGTTTAGTTTTGCTATGCCTAAAGAGAGGAAACAACGCTCTGTATCTCATGAGAGGTTTAAAGGATCTTCACTCTATTGTGAGTCAAGTCGTGCTTTGAAGAAGCCAAGTGAGAAAGAAGTTAAGGAATGGGAAGAAGCTCGATGTCCTGTCTGTATGGAACATCCACACAATGGAATCCTTCTCATTTGTTCTTCCTTTGATAATGGATGCAGGCCTTACATGTGTGACACTAGTCACCGGCATTCAAACTGTTTCGATCAGTACTGTAAAGCTTCTAAGCAGACGCCAACAACTGAGACAGAAGGTGTAGAAGTAGCTTCAGAGTCAAGAGATGAGGCTGTGTCTGAGGTAACAGTTGTGAATGCGAGAGAGGGTGAGAGAGGAGAAGAAGAAGAAGAAGAAGAAGAAGGGAAACCGAAGCTTATTTGTCCGTTATGCCGTGGGAATATAAAAGAATGGGTAGTTGTTGAAGATGCTCGTTGTTTCATGAACGCGAAGCATAGAAGCTGTTCTTCAGAGACTTGTGAGTTCAGTGGAACGTACTCTGATCTGAGAAAGCACGCGAGGCTTCTACATCCAGGAGTGAGGCCATCAGAAGCAGATCCCGAGAGGCAGAGAAGCTGGAGGAGGTTAGAGAGGCAGAGAGACTTGGGGGATTTGCTTAGCACACTGCAGTCTTCCTTTGGAGGAGGAGGAGGAGGAGAAGAAAGAAGCAGCAGCAGCAACGACGATGAAATCATGTCGTTTGATGATGGTGGTTGGCTTACTGTGTTTTTCCTAATCCGTGTGTTTAGGCCAGAGTCGAGTGGTGGCTCAAGGAGTAGTAGTAGCTGGTCAGGTACGTCTAGGGCTAGGTCACAGATAGGTGTGAGGAGAAGATCTTCAAGGCTTTGGGGAGAGAGCTATGAAGGTGAGACAGGAACATCATCTAGAGGTAGGGAGAATAATAATCGGTCTTCTGATGAACAAGAGGAGTCTGGAACTCAAAGACGGCGTGTCAGAAGGAGATATTACATTGATGATGATGATGAGGAGGAGACGTAATTGCTCTGGGAGTATACAATTTGGTTTTTTAAACTTCATGAAAAAAAAAATATGGGGGAAGCTTTGTATTAATAACCCCCCATGTTGTGAGACCTATTATGTAAAATTTCGTTGGAGATTGAAAAAAAAGTTTCTATTGAGAAACAAAATGTTAACAATAATTTTTACCGTTTTACAAAATCTTTGTCATAGCACAGTTATCTCTAAAGCTTTACAACATTTGAAGAGCTTTAAAATGAAGACTGTTTAAGCAGCAGCTTGCTTCTTGGCAAAGTATTCATCTGCTCGTGGAAGGTTCTTTGCAGTTGCTTCCCTGAGAGAGTTCAAAAGTTTGTGTTTCGGATTGGAATTAGCAGCGACTGTGTTTGTAAAGTTATGTTAAGAGAAAAGTAGTGACGAGTACCTTAAATGAAGTGGTGGGGAAGTATAGACGGTGAAAATGACGTGAGGTGAGAGAGTGAGAGGAACGGCCATGGAGGACACAAGAGTTCAGAAGCATCTCAAAAGCTTTCAGGGATGAAGGATGACGAGACGATGTATGAGTTTGATCAAAGCAAAAAACTATGTTAGGAACGCAATAAACGACGTCGGTTTAGACATAGCACTCAACTATTGATAGGTCTTTATGGCCCATGTGTTTTACCGACCACTTATTTCATTGTTTAAATCAAAATCTATTTTCTCTAACTAACATCTTTCCTTCTTTTAAAAAATAGATTTTCATAGTTATTTTTGAAGGTAACTTAGAGCATGTTTAATGCAGATCTTTTTAAATAAAAATTTTATTATAATATAAAATATCTTTCTTGTTTTTAATTAAAAAATTAAAAAATATCTCTTATATCTTTTATGTAAGAGACATTTTTAATTTTTTTAATTAAAAACTAAAAAATATATTTTATATTATATTAAGTATCCTATTCTAAGAAATTTGAGTTAATCATCCTCTCAGACTATTACAGGAAAGAGAAAAAATATTATCATATAATCTGCTTAAGGATTTAAAATTCTGGAATGCTTAACTGGAGACAATACCTATTTATCAATGTTCATATAGTATGCTATAAAAGGAGCACCGAATATCTTGTTTTTTGTTAATTTTATCCACCAGCCTGCATAGTTAACAACACTTAACACCAATTTTGTATTCAACATAGTATTATATTAATAAAATTTTAATTTTGCCGAAAAGGTAAAATGTCTCAGTTCACTTTTTTTTCTCGATTATCGATATTAAGAATATCTTCATTGAGGATATCAAAGTATCTATCTTTAAGTATTTATTTTTATGTGTATATATATTATATATATGTATGTAATTATAGAGTTCTAAGTTTTACAGAGAAACATAATCCAAAATATCTGATTTGAGATGTTTTGGATTACGTTTCCCATAAAATTTAGAAGCTCACAATTATATATACATATAGAATATATATATATATATATATATATATATATATATATATAAATGTTATTTTAGATATTTTAAAATAGATATCTTTGATACACATAAATGTATTTTTAGAATCTTTGAAGTAGATATTTTATTGGAGATGATCTATAGTGTTATTGGTTGTGTTTGTACTATGTGGTAAATGCATGGCTCGTGATAGGAACATGTTAACATATATGAGTAGCTGAACAAAAGAAAAAAGTCTCACCCAATAAAATATCTTCTCTCCATGTTCCTGATTTAGCCACTTTGGTCGTGGAAAAATATCTTTAGCTTTCCAGATTTTTTTTTTTGGTTTAAAAAAAATTAATTTCACATTTTTACCGGAAATCCAAATACTGTAAATAATTTTTCTCACCATAAATTGAATTCAGGTTGTGGAAGTTACATCCACAATTCATTTACCACTATACCTACTCGACGTTGGTCGCTTTCCAAACTTGTCTATTTATATACTGCTTCTCAATTTGTAAACAATAGTTTTTGAACTATATATATAACATTTTTAAACGAAACTTTTTATAATTTATATATTATTTATTCATATACATACAATCAAATGTTCAACTATACAACCCCACACTAACGCATTCATATACATAATCACAACAATCGCATACAACACTATCTATACTTTTTAGCGTTTTGTACCACCATCAATGTTTGCAAAATCCTTGCTTCACTTCACGACCACAAGAGAGCACTCCGTAGTAGGTAAACACCTGCACTTATTTAAAGATAGTGGCCATTATATTTGTTTTTTGTTCATTACTATTTCATACTCATGGTAAAAACAAAAAAAAATTGTAAATAATATATTATTAAAAAGATAAATTTGAAATAAAATAGTTTGCAATATTAAATTATAACAATATAGTAAAATATTATTAATCAATTAATGTTTACCAAAATTAAAAGTATCTTAAAATATCAAAATATTTTATATCTTGAAACACAAAATATTTCTACAACATCTTAGGGTTTAACTGGTAATCATCACATGAACATTAAGAACAAATAATAAAGAAACCTATAGAAATAAAATTTGAATAGTGAAGAATGATTATTCTTTATCATATCTAGCGCAAATAATAATATTGTTCTATATTTCTCTGTAATAAAAAGAATGAAAAGGAATGAAAGAAGAAAAAATGTCCCTTATGAATGATAAAACAATTTAGATATATAAAGGAATGCATTATTTCTTGTCATTCATTAGTCATTCATTAGTCATCATTCATACGAATCATACCCTTTGTTTATGAAACGGATGGAAGAGTATTACGCTTATTGACGGAATTAAAAAAACATCGACCTATTTATGAATTTCTTACTTTTTAAGATTTCGGTTTTGTTGATCGGTGATAGCTATTAGATTGATCTTTCGCTCTTGAATTATTTTGTGGATTATATCTTTCACGTCTCGAACATCAGTAAATGTCTCTGCTTTAACCTGCTTTCAACATGATTATGATGAGATTAAACATTTCAACAAATGGTTGTTGATGACATAACCTTATAACTTATTAATATATCCACACATGATCCTGATGATCCCATAAATATGATTTGGTCAAAACATTACCCCATGATTTCCACATAACTTCTTGGCTTTCTCTAATATACCCAACGCAAATTTTGTATTCTTTTCTTGAGCCAATCTCATGAGTTCTGAATCTGCAAAACATACAAAAACATAAGAGAAAAAAACAAATAAGCCTTTAAAGAAAATCTAAAGAACATGGTCGATAAGAGTCATAAGACCACTTAACTGGCTGAAAATGGATAGAAAATCTGAGCAAAGCCCACCGACGAAGCAAGTGCGGTAGGAGGAGTGAAGGAGTTTTGTGGCTGTTTTGCGAAGATCACAACTTTGGAGCTGTCAATGACATCTTTAAGATTTTTGAGGACCCAAACTAGTAAATCATAACTTGAGTTGCTCTCGTCGATAATCACCATAACTCTCTTCATCTTCTCTTGTTGTTGTTCTTCAAGTTTTTGTGACATTAAAACATCTTATCTATGTGCTAATTTATAATATACTGTAGTTTGAAATGGAACATGTCTAAGAAAGTAATTTGACGATTGGGTACCTGAAAGGGCTCGTTCACCAACTAGATTCTGTCTTTTTAATTTACAAGAAAAATACACACTAATAATACTGAATAACAGAACAGACGAATAATATGATTCATTTTACGACCTTAATGTATTATAATAATGAATACATAACAATTTATAACCAATTCATCATGTATATATTGATTTTAAACTGGTTTGAGTGGATCGCGTTTGGTAATTGCCGGATACACGCCAGTAGCTGACACATAATCACGCAATTTTTGTCAAACTTATAATAAAAATAAATTAAGTATTAGTATGGTTGAGAAAATTAAAATAGCCTATATGGACACAATTAGCTAAAAAGAGCTAGAAAGAGTTTGAGCAAGTCCGAGCATCTCCAATGTAAAACTCCATTTTTTCCTTCAAAATGGAGTAAAAGTGATTATAGAGTAAAAATGCTCCAACCCCACTCTATTTGTAACTCCATAATGGAGTAGTGAACAAAGAAAAAATAGATTACTCCATTTATGGAGTAAATCTCATTATGGAGTAAGAAATGAAGTAGGGTTGGAGCATTTTTTACTCCATAATCACTTTTATTCCATTTTGAAGTAAAAAAATGGAGTTGGGTTGGAGATATCCTTAGAAGGACGGGTACTTTACACCACACTTCTACACCACAGTTAGATATCACTAACTGCTGCCCTCAGTTTAGGTGATGATCTGCCGATCAAATAATATTAAGTGGGTTTAGACTCACATAATATAAATAACTACTTGGATCGTTTAAATCAATGTTATATTTAAAAAAAAAATAGCTCGTTTGTTAAAGAATAATCTTGAGGTCGAGATAAAGATGTGAAATGTGCGAATAGTATAGGCAGAGAAAAAAAATCTTAAAATACTAGTTGGTGTGATTAATAATTGAAATAGCAAAATAAATTTGTATTTGGTTATTGTCAACGCAAGTGAATATTTATTGAAAAAATGAATTTAACAAAAAAAAAACAAGTTAATTAAGAAAAGGTTTCAAGTAGGTCCTACGAAAACGAAACAACCTTACTACATCGAGGAGCCTAAAACACGCTAGCTCTTGGCGTGCTTCAACATTGTGCCTTCCACTCCAAGTAAAATTTAAGGTCCATGAATAAAAGATCACTAAAGCAGGCAATAATATATGGGCCAAATAAAAGCACGTTAGTACCACATTAGAGAGTTTGATCATAATTATTATCACTTGATTAATACTCACTCTATTTTTAAAGGGAAATTGTCAGAAATAACACTTTCAAGATATCACTTTTCAACTTTACACTAACCAACTTTACCATTAAAATTTTAATACTCAAAATACTATTAGAATTTAAGGTTTAGGGTTTTGGGTTTAGGATTGATAGTTTAGGGTTTAGTGTTGATTTTTAGGGTTTAGGATTTACTTTTTAGGGTTTAGAATTGATATTTTAGGGTTTATGGTTGATTTTTAGGGTTTAGGGTTTACTTTTTAGGGTCTAGAGTTTAGAATTGATGTTTTAGGGTTTAGAGTTAATATTTTATTCAATATTTATTTTATGTATATATATAAAGAATAAGAATATAAGAGTCTTTTATCGTTTAATAAAATGTGTATTTTTGAAAATGTTCCTTTGTTGGTGGTAAACATGAAAAGTGGTACCACCAAAGTGGTATAATTGAAATTCTCCCATTTTTAAATGATGGATGTTTTGAAGTATTTACACATTAACAAAACAAAAATTTTGATTATAGATGTATTGTTTTTGTGATTAACTATTTCCAACATTTTTTACTCAACTACAACTTAATAAACACATTAATCTCTTCAAAATTTACAAATTATAATACTTATTTAATAAAAATGTACAGAATATGTGAAAATATACATATTTGAAACCAAATTTGTTTCAAAAATATGGATTAGTTTGAATAGAAGGGAGTAAGACATTTTCTTTTAAACAACTATTTGATCTAAAAAAACTGAAAGTAAGAGTGATTTATATCAAGAAGTGAAGCTTGATCATCAAACTCATTATCAGAATCAAACCACTTCATATCCGGAGTCAAATCTTCAATCATCATATAAATTTCTTCAGAAAGAGGATGGACCTATCTTCAGCATTAAAGGCACAAACTTCACTTCTATCTCAATCCAACTCGAATCCGAAACTTTCTTCACAAAAAATTAATTAATGATAAATTATACTGTTTAGTTTACAAATAAATTGTTCATAATATTGTATAATCTAATATTTATAATACTTTTTACACGTCAATGTCTAGATTTCAGAGCTGGCCTTTGATATAAGCGGATGAAATATGTGCTTTCAGTCGCCAAAATATAAGGTTTCAACCGGCCACAAAATCAACAAAAACACTCTGTAGTCTAGTGGTTGAAAAATATTCAGTCACTTCATTGAGGGCAGGGTTATGCTTGCAGCCTCAAAAATACTAGGACCGACTCTGCTAGATTTCTTTGTTTTTGTAAGAGGTCAAACCCTATGTAGCGATAAATTACTTGACAGTTACCCGATAAACATAATCTAAACAATTTTAAAAGGTTTTGTGCCCAAATATTATCATATATATATATATATATATATATATATATATATATATATATATATATATATATATATATATATATATATATATATATATATCACGTAGTTCTTTCTTAATGTTTATGCATATTTTTATCCACCATATTATATGAAAAGTGAAGTATCAGTGTACCGTATTATGTCATCTGCTTGATCCGCATATTTTATTCGACTGTTACCATTCCAAGCTTTTAATATTGTGTCATTTTCTTTCTCTTTAAGTACTTAAAAAATTTTTTTAGCGACAAAAATTTTTTTTTACCAACAGAACTTTTATTAAAATAAGAAATTAGTGAGGGCCAAGCCTTACACAAAGTACATGTTACAAAGGGAGTACCTGGCCCAAGAGTCAGCAGGTCCATTGAAATTCCTACTAGTGAGGGCCCAAACCCTACACAAAGTACATATTACAAAGAGAGTACTTGGCCCAAGAGTCAGCAGGTCCATTAAAATTCCTGGGGATGAACGAAACAAACAAAGAGAGAAAGAAAAAAGATATCATTAATTCGATGTCCAAAGAATTCCACAGATCATTGATTCGAAGAGATGACTTGAACAAGCCCTTTGCAATCTTATTGTAGCCAGATTTTGTTGAAGTTGAACAATGAGGCGTGGTGGAGAGCTTCTCGAATCGCTAACGCTTCTGCCATAAGTGGAGAGGAGACATGCGTCTGGTGGAGGCATCCACGAGTGATTTCGTTGCCTTCATGGGAGGACAAAATCCAAGCCAATCATACCTCTCTAGTGTTCTTATACCATGCTGGATCGGAGTGAAGGCATCCACGAGTGATTTCGTTGCCTTCATGGGAGGAGAAAATTCAAGCCAATCACACCTCTCTAGTGTTCTTATACCATGCTGGATCGGAGTGACAGATGAATTTAAGACCCATAAATAGAAAGATCACTTTAAACAGGTAATAATATGTGTGCCCGTTAGTACTACCTACTCACACTCTAGAGATAGTTTGATCACAATTCTCATTTTTTATATTATATACTTATTAATACTCTTTATGTTTCAAAATTATACAAGTTTTATACTTTTCACACATATATATATATATAATTTTGACAATAATATGTATTACATTTTTATGATTAACTATTTTTGATATTTTTTAATCAATCAAAATTCTATAAATACAATTATTTTTTTAAGTTTTAGAAGTTATCATAATTATTTAGTAAAAGTGCATTAAAATGTTTTTTTTAAAATAACTTTTTCAAAAATATAGATCATTTTGAAACGGAGGAAGTAAAATAATTTATTTTTAAACAACAATTTGATATTGTAAAAAAAAAACTGAAACTAAGAATGATTTACATCAAGAAGTGAAGCTTGATCATCAAACTCATTATCAGTCTCAAACCACTTCATTTCCTTACTCAAATCTTCAATCATCAAATAAATCTCTTCACAAAGAGGATGAGATCTATCTTCAGCATTGAAGGCACAAACTTCATTTCTAATCTCAATCCAGCTCCAACCTGGAACTTTCTTCACACCTCTCTCCTTCATCACCTTCTTCACACTTGCTTTCTCTTCCCACTTCTTGACATCACTATACACATGAGACAACCAAACATACGTGAAATGATCATCTGGTTCAACCTCTAGCAAATGGTTAGCCACTTGAGTAGCCATCTCAATCTCCCCACAAGCCCTGCAAGCTCCAAGGAAAGTCTTCAACACCATTGGATCAGGACTCAATGGCATTGACTCAATCAACTCTTTTGCTTCCTTCACAAGCCCTGCTCTGCCTAAGAGATCAACAGCAGCTGCGTAATGTTCCATCCGTGGTTTGATTTTGTAAACCGGTTCCATCGAGTGAAGCAACTTGAGTCCTTCTTGTACCAAACCGGAGTGGCTACAAGCTGTTAGAACTGCAGTGAAGGTTACATGGTCTAGCTTCACATTTTGGTTACACATTTGAGAGAACAGTGATAACGAGACTTGGCCTGAACCGTGTTGAGCGTATCCAAGGATCATAGTATTCCAAGCTACTGTACTGTCTGTGGAGGAGATCTTCTCAAAGCATTTTCGCGCGTTCTCGATGACTCCACATTTTGAGTACATCAAGATCAGAGAACTAGCTACAAACTCGTTTGATTCAAAGCTTGATTTAGTGGCTAGAGCGTGAATCTGCTGACCTAACTGGAGTGTTGCAAGGTCAGAGCATGATCTGAGAACTGCAGAGAAGGCGTAATCATCTACTTCTAGGTTTGAACATCTTAAGTAGGTAAAGAACTTAACCGCATCCTCGCTTGGACCTTTTTGAGATAGCCCTGTCAACATTGAGTTCCAAGAGACAAGATCCTTAGCTTCCAAGGATTCAAATAGTGAGAGAGCATCACTCATGGCGCATGTGGGAAACTGAATATACATAGAGATTAATGAGTTTGAAACTGAAGTTACTTGTTCAAGTCCTTTCTTTATAACCAAACAATGCAAGGACTGTCCTAAGACTTGATGTTCTTCTCCACAACAAGTGCTTAAGATGCTGGTGTAAGTATAAACATCGGTTTCGACTCTTGTCCTTTGAATTTCAATAAACAGCTCAAAAGCAAAGTCCTTTTGCTCTAGTTTAGAGAAACCTGCAAGCATTGAGTTCCAAGTAATCAAGTCTTTTGAGTCTCCTACACCATCAAAAACTCTCTTTGCATCTGATACTGAACCACAATCTGCATAAGAGCTAACCATAGCATTGCATATAGTAATCTCTTTCTCAAGTCCAAGCTTCAAAACCTTAGCATGAACTTCCTTTAACAAGTTACACAACATTGGATCATCAAGCAGAGTAAGAAGTGGAGCAAAAGTGCCATCATCCATATCTCTCATCTCCATACAACCAAACAACCAAAACGCAGTCTCAACATCCCTCACCTGCACAAACCCACCAATCAAAGCATTCCAAGAAACAGAGTTAACCTCTGAAATCTCCTGAAACGCGTCGAAAGCATCCTCAACTCTCTCACACTTCGCGTACATATCAACAAGCGCACTTCCAACGTACACATTACTCTCAAAACCTCTCTTTATAACCAAAGAATGAACTTGCTCCCCAAGATAAAACATTTTTGCACAAGCAACACCTTTCAACACTCTACTAAAACTATACCCATCAACATCAGAACCAGATCTTATCATACCCGTAAACAAACACCATGCTTTTTCTAACTTCCCACAGCTTGTGTGCCCAGATATCATCGTGTTCCAAGAGACAGAGTCTCTGTGAGGCATTTCGTCGAACACCTTGTGGGCTTGACCTAAAAAGCCGAGTTTTATATAGGAATCCATAACTCTGTTGGATATGTAAACGTCTGTGATGTAACCATGTTTGATGGCGGAGCAGTGAGTGGAGGAAAGCTTTTGAAAGGAGTTGAGAGAGCTCTCTAGTAGAGAGGCTAAGAAAGGTTTCATTCATCTGTTTTGTGAGAGTGATTAGGGTTTCATTTTGAGTCACCAAAGACTGACTTTTTTGGTATGGTTCTTGTGATTTAGCTCAAGTTGCTGAGTAATAGACAAGTGACATAGCCAAGAAGAACAACACACAAGTAACAATAAGAGAATTACTCTGTTTTTGTAAAAAATAATTAATTTTTAATTTCTTAATTAGTTTATTATTGATTTCTATATTGATTAGTGATATACCTTTTTGTCATGAATTGTGAAGTGGTTAATTTGATGTATATATTTAACCACAGTAGGTTAACTATATAATTAATTAAGTAAATAACAAATTAACAATAAATGTTAAACTTTTGAGTTATTATTAAGGAAGGGTGAGGTTTTTGAGAGGTTTTGGAGGTTTTCACCATGTTGTCTTGCTTTTCATCTCAGTATATTGAGAGAGAAAGGTGATAAAGGAGATCATGAGGGAGTTCCAAGCTATTATGAAACATGTCAGGCCTTGTCATGATGAACCATGAAAGAAAAACAAAGTGACCATATCAACACTTCTTTGGTTTTTCCTCATTGTAATTTTGTATATCATCTCTTTTATTTTATTTTTTATGTTGTTCAATAGTTACCCGCTTTTTCATTGACATTGTCCCTTAGCATATCTTTGATTCAGTTCTTTCAAAGTCTACCAATCTCAAAAATAAGATATGCATAGACGTAACATATTTACAAAGAAAAAACAACGTGATCTTATAGCTGCCTTGCCTGCAGTGACCATTTTGTTTACCAACCATACAACATATCCTAGATTCAACTCTTTAAAAGTCTATTAATTTCTGACCACATTCACAACGCAAAAAAAAATCTTCTAGCTTTCTGCAGTACTCGTTATCTCATTCCTCTGTACAAGACACCAGGTTGAAGATCATCCATACTCTCTACATTCCTAACCATACTCTCTATGTTCCTAAACCCTCCATCAAACTCTCTCAGACATGTCCATCCTCTTCGTCCCAAGAAGTCTCTGTAATCCTCTTCCGTGTAAAACACTTTCTCCTCTTGATGCACTGGTAATGGATCAGACTCATCATAGTGACACACTCTAACAGATATTCCTGCAAATTTTTTGGATATAGATACTGAGAATCCTCAAAAACCAGAAGAGAAAGCAAAAAGACTTTCTACCTTCATCAACATGGAGTGTATAGTTCCCTAGAGGCATGTCTCGGTCAAGTGAACGTATAACCTGTTCTTCATCTTCTAACCAAAAAGCTCGTCTTGTTCTCAACCTAAATGCAGACCTGATAGCTTCCTTGATGGCTTCAGCAGTACCATCGATTCCAACTCTTCTTGTATAGTCTCCATACTTCACTGTTATGATCTTCCCAACAAACGGCTGACCATCACTGCCTGCTATAATAACATGACTATGAAACACAAGTGGAACATAGAGTTCAAAAGCTCGATGAAAACATAAAACTCTTGCCATTTCCAGCGGGTTCTCTCCAGTTCCATGGAGGAACTTCATTTGCAGTGACGGCTTCAGCAGAAGCAATGGCGAGAGGATGGCCATCATGATCAAGCTGCCTTTCAAGATTTAATGTTGGCCTACCACTAGCTGGACACACATTAAAACTCATATCAAAACTTAAAACTACTTCCACAAATCAAGCTTCACTACTAATGTAAGAAGCTAAAGAAGCAAAAGAGCTAATACACTAACTAACTAGCAAAACTAAACTTAAGAGTTTCAACACCATGTTAAGAAGATTAGCTTGAGGGTGGATACATGTGAGACCAGTACCTTCAACAGATGCAAAGGAAATGTCTGTATCTTCAAAACCTACAGTAAGATAAAAGACATATCAAGTAAGACTAGTACCATAGCCATAAACGGTCCTGATCCTTTATAGGACCAAAAGTATTAACAAAACTGAAACCTAACAACAAAACTCTTCTTCTCAAACCCAAAAACAAGCAAAAAAAAAGTTTCAACCTTTATCTGTAAACTGAACAAAGGAATCAACTTTAGTCAAAAGGGTTAACAAAACTGAAACCAAAACCCTAAATCCCTTCTTCTCAAACCCAACAACAAGCAACAAAATTTCAACCTTTATATATAAACTCCATAAAGGAACCAACTTAGCTAAAAGGGTTAACAAAACTGAAACCAAAAAGACTAATCTCTTCAGCTCAAACCCAACAACAAGCAACAAAAAAAAAGTTTCAACCTTTATTTGTAAACTCCATAAAGGAATCAACTTCATCCAAAAGGGTTAACAAAACTGAAACCAAAAACACCAAATCTCTTCTTCTCAATACCCAAAAACAAGCAACAAAAAAGTTTGAACCTTTATCAGTAAACTGCATAAAGGAATCAACTTTAGCAACTTTCTTGCTCCTCTCCCTAAGAACATCCTCAATCTCCTTGTAATGACACATCTTCCCACTTCCTTTGTCCTGATGATCCTTAACCTTCTTGAACTCTTTCAACATATTCCTCCACTTATCCGTACACATAGCCGGAGACCGATCAAACCCTTTCTCCCTCATCTTACACGAAATCTCCTCCCATAGATGTTTGTTGGACTTTGAAGTGTTGAAAAGACTGTCCATCTCCCTCCGTAGCGTGATCAAGATCCGTGTCTCGTCTTGTACCCATGTCTCCGCTCGCTTCTTGGGGAGCTTGTTGTTGTTGTTGTTGATCTCGTGGTCTTCGCTGCTGCTGTTGTCTCCCAGGAGGATTTGGTGTGGAGGGTTTAGATCTCCGTCGATTATCATGTTTATGTCTCGTGAGGTTGGGGATGATGTGTTGTTGTTGTTGTTGTTGTCGTCTTTGTAGAAGTCGATTGGGGAACGAGGTTTGTCGGAGGAAGTGAACATGGTTTCTTTAGTTTCGTGACTTTTTGTTTGTGACAAGGAAGAAGAAGATAAGACTCGTGGAAGATTAAAGGAAAATGTAATTTTTTTTTTTTACAGCTATTGGTGCGTGGACTCGACGTGATGATGTTAGGTCTGGTATTTGACCCGAACCGAAATTCTTGGTTTTCGGTTCAGATTTAATTATGAGTTCGGTTTAATTTGCAATCGGTTATTAATTCGGTTCGATAATCAGTTTTCATTTTTTAAAAGAAAATTTTGACTATGTCATACCAATCATAACAAAAATTTTGAATCAATTAACCAAAATTTGGAACAAAATAACCGGATTTTAACCAAAATTCAAAACCAAAATAACCAAAATTGATATGTAACTAAATAAAACCGAAATCTAATCAAAACCAAATAAACTCAACAATATTTTCATAACTGAACTAACCATATATCAAACCAAATCGAAATTTTATTTGAATAATTCCACAATATTCTAACTAAATAACAGAAACCAAACTAACCATTTAAACCGATACCCACATGCCTTGTTGCAGCTCTTGAGGCAAAATCACAGTTCAATATTATGTTTACTGGATTGCACACATAGAATAGAATAATCCAAAGTACATCTTTTATTTATTTAGATAAAAAATGTCTATGAACGGGAAACTTTATTCATTAAACGAGAGGCAACTTAATCAGTTTGGAGCAACTAGATCACAAAAACTCCAGACAGATGTAATTTCTTTCTTTTTATCTTACAGCCATTGCCGCGTGGAAGCAACGTGCTAATAGGGAGTGTAAAACAATAGCACTAAGCTTAATATTTGACCTGAACCAAAATTCTTGGTTTTGATTGAGATTCGGTTATTGATCTAGTTATCTATCGGTTATTGATTCGGTTCTTTAATCAGCTTTCATTTTTGTTAGGAAAAAAATATTTTAACTATGTCATACCAATCATATAAAGAAATTGAATTAAATTAAGAGTGATTTAGTGAACTACCAATATTTGAAGCTCAAATTAACAAAATACTAATGATTGGACATGAAGGACACTGACACAACCATTTGGCAAGGAAATGCCGAGAATGCCCTTTATCTTTCCTCTCATTAACACGAAGCGTAAAAACATTTGTTAACATATAACACTTCTGTTAACGTCTACAATATTTGTTAACAGCCAACACATTTATTACCGCGAAGCGTAAAAATAATTGTTAACAGTTAACACTTTTGTTAACGTCTACATATTTGTTAACAGCGAACACATTTATTAACGCGAAGCGTAAAAATAATTGTTAACAACTAACACTTCTGTTAACGTCTACAATATTTGTTAACCGCTAACACGACGTTGAATCTAAAACCCATAAAATTGATATCATCAAAAAATTGAGTATTCAAAGCCACTTATGAAAAAAATAATGAAATTTAAAATTTAATTGTATGTACTTCTCTAATAACATATTTAAAATTATTATTTAAGAATCAAAGTGAACTCAAAAATATTTAACATATTTATTTTGCATGTAATTCATTTTGAAAATGATAAGAGAAGAGAAGAGCAATGATAACGAAAATGAAAAAAAAAAAACTGACACACTCACATGTAAATGCAAGAAGGAAGAAAAGAAAGAAAGAAGGGCAATTTGATCAGACAAAATAAATCAGTCCCATCATGGGCAAGTGACTAATATAGACTCTCATTTGGGGTGTATTGGCCAGTTATCTCTTAAATTAATCACAATAACCAAATTTAACCCAAATTTAAAACCTAAATCACCAGATTTAACTTAAATTAATCTGTAACTAAATTGCACCAAAACCTAAGCAAAACCGATATTTTCAATTGAACTCAACAAAAAATTTCCTAACCAAACTAACCAAATTTTCGTAGCCAAGCTAACCAGATGTCAAACCAAACCAAAATTTTATTTGAGTGATTCCACAAAACTTTACACGAACCAAACTAACCGAAAACTAAATTGCACAAACCAAACAAACCGTCTAAACCAAACCCACATGCCTTGATCTTATTTTCTTTATCTGGAAATCACATTAGTCACATTTCACACACCAGTTTTAAGAGAGAACGATTCCAAATTTACTAATCTTATTTTCTTTATTGGACTGCAAATAGAGAATAATCCGTAAGTTCATCTTTTATTCATTTCATTAAATAAAAAAAACAATGTCTAAAGCCAAAACAAATCTTTACTTTATTCATCAAAGGAGAGGTAACTTAAGGAGCTTCGAGCAACCAGAGCACAAAAACTCCAGACAAAACGTCTCCTCGTACACACCGCCATTAATGCACCGACCACACTGAGAACACCTCTGCACGCAAAGAGAGCAAGCACGACACTCCTCCTTCCCTTTACATTCTTCCGCTGGACAGTCATACACAATCCTCCAGTTCTCACATTTCCGACACATCTCAATATCTATCCCCCGGACAACATCATCGCATGAGGTAAATGTGTATCCTTTATGGTAAAACCGCGGCGGCTTATGAATAGACTTTTCCAGATTATTGTCTATGTCTAACAACTCCAACAACTCATCATAGTGATCTTTAGTAACTCCAAAGAGACCACCAGTCTCTAAATGTTTCACTTTAAGCTTTCGCTTTGACTTCAGATCCGTCAAGATGCTCACAAGGCCATCGATGCTAATCCTTATGCATCCAGGCACACCAAGCTGCACAACCACAAAACAATATTAATTTTTAAGTAATCAATATAAACTTTTCACAAAGCAAATGAAGAAAAACCTTACCTTGACTACTTGTGGGTTGCTCTCCAACACCTTCCTAAGACAATCCTCTGTAATTCTCACGCAATCTACGAGGCGCAGACACTGCATAGTGCCATGAGCCCTCTCGGTTAGCTGCAGAAGAGCTTCATCATTGATCTTCTCATTCATCGGTTGAGATATGTGGATATGTTTCCACAGTAGAGAGTCATCACAGACAGTGGTATGCAGAGACTTGCAAACCATGCTGACTGAAAGAAGATCCTTTAATCCCAAGTGGTAAAGACAAAAACCAAACGCTGGATGAATGTTTGCATTCTCTCCTCCATCATTGTTACAGCGTTCACTACTTTCCCCAACACTAGTAGGGGGGATGAATGCACCAGGGCAAGACTTATCACCATCAAAGCCTTCATCAAACCCGAACAAGGACCCATACCCATCTATATTGTTGTACACACGACTCTCAGGGAACTCCTGAAACCGCATAGCATTGTTCCAAATGAAACTCAACCCAGCAAAGAGCTGGTGGTCTCCATCACCAATCCCAAACCCAATCTCATCCCTTCCATATCGGCTATAGTTAGCCTCCAAATCCTCAAGCCACCCACTAATAGCAGTGAACGTATTGTTCATATCCATCCCAAACGGATCAGACGGCAACACATCAACTACATCAACAGAAGCTGAATCTCCAATGCCCCTTCCGTTACCAAAGCCCTCCCCTTTCTCAATCCTTGAACAGCAAGGATATGGGAAAACATCTCCAAGGCTCCTTCCGTAACCAAAGCCCTCCCCTTTCTCAATACTTGAACAACAAGGATGTGAGAAAACACCTCCAAGGCTCCTTCCGTAGTCAAAGTAATCACCTTTCTCGATACCAGAACACCAAGGATGTAAGAAAACACCCCCAGTGTTCGTTCCATAGTCAAAGCAATCACCGTTGCTCTCAGAAACTCCCTCAACAAGAAACCCATCAGCTATCTTCATTGGGTCCTCAGAGACAAGTCTATGAGAAAAATTCAACGCCATTCCTATTAAGTCTACCTAAAACCCCTTTGTACAGAATCCCTAAAAAAGCTAACTTCTTTTTCTAATGGGTTTAATTTAATCTATGGAAACTCTTGATGGCAACAACAAAAAAATACTTAGTCACCCTTAACTTTTCAGAGCTTCCTTTAAAAACCTATGAAAAAAATAAGCTACACGAGACGTATTAATTAACAACCCATTGGTACCAAAAGAATAATTTTTCTGATCTAAATTAGGGTTTTTAAACCTAATAATAAGCTAAAAGACGATAGAAATTGGATAAAACCAATATAGAAACCCTTAAAACTTGATCGACGGAGAAACCAAACCGCGAGATCTCCTTTTAATTGGAATGTAACAACAACGAAGTAAGTTTCTTCCTCTCTCAGGTGAAAGCAAAATTTCGATTAAGGAGAGAGAGAGATAGATAGAGAGAGAGGGAGAACGGGTTGGTCGTCGACCGAGTCAAAGAGAGAAAACGATGGAGAGGAGAATATTGCGCGAGAAAATCTCCCACTTTTTTCTTGATCGAGATTTCACGAGGGAGAAAATTAATATATACTCGAGGAGGAGAGGAAGGGGGAAAAAAAATGGAAGGAGATAAGATTAGGGTAATGGTGAAATCGTCAAACTCTTTTAGGGTGATGGACACGTGTCGTTTTTAAAAGAGTTCTCTGTTTATTCTCTGCTTGCTCTTTGATCTGTCGATGATTTTGGGATTTTTGATTCTTTTTCTTTGATTTGATGATTTAAATACAAATTGATAACTATAAACCATGCTTTAATTACGATTTTATTAGGCAATAAACACCTTTGGATTATTGCAATGACACATTCAATAAGATTGCATTATTTCATATTTGATATCTTTTTAAAAAGTAAAGAAAATCATATTAAGTTATATTATGTTTTTAAAAATAAAAAATAGAAAATAAATAAAAATAAATAAAAAACGAAAATAATTCTTTTTAAAGAAAATATTTTAGCATTAAACCCTAAACTATAATCACAACCCTAAATCCATGGTTAAATCATAAACCTTGATAAATCTTATAGTGTTTTAAAATTTTAATATTTATGATTTACCCTAGGGTTTAGGGTTTAGTGTTTATGATTTACCTAAGGGTTTAGGGTTCAGGATTAGAGTTTAGGATTTATTGTTTATGATTTACCCAAGGGTTTAAGGTTTATCATTAGATTTTAGGGTTTAGTGTTAAAATATTTTTTTTTAAAGAACTTTTTTTTTATAAAAGTTATCCAAAGATTATTGATTTACCTAGGGGTTTAGGTTTTAGGATTAGAGTTTACGGTTTAGTGTTAAAATATTTTCTTTAAAAAGAAGTTCATTTTCGTTTTTATTAATTATTATTATTTTTTATTTATTTTTAAAAACATAATATAACTTAACAAGATTTTGTTTCCTTTTTTAAATGATATCAAATATGAAATAGTGAAATCCAATTGGATTCACCCTAGGGGGTGAACCCAAGAATAACTCTATTGCAATACAACACTTCATTATTGAGTTAATGATGTTTTAAAAGTTAGTACTATTGAATTGTTTAACTGTATCAAATACATATTTAGATTTTATTTTATTTTTATGTTTACTGATGCTAATATTACAATAAATATAATTACTTATTTAACTATATAAAAAGACAGTTTAAAATTTAATTATTTAGCTGTATCAGATATGATTTTTTTGATATTTTTATTTTCTCGTTGTAAAATTAATGGTGGTTTAATTTCTTGTTGTTTATGTTTATTAAATACAGTGTATCAGAAAAATGTTTATTAAATTCACATACATATGTTTCATGAATTTATTCATAGCAAGTGGAATAAATAATGGTGTGCTTTAAAACCATGAATAGATAGAGCCATAAAATAATGATTTGATGTAGATATCTATCTTTAAAGTGAACAAATCAGCCAACGAATAAAGGTTAGTTAAGATATGGTGGTATCTAAGCAAAGCAAATATATCTGATAAAAACGAATGTGTTCTTGATTAATGTGGTAATAACTAACTAGGTATATAATCAAGTTTAAAAAGGAAAGACTGCCATGTAAATATATGTTCGTCTTAACAACACGTAAAGTCTGATGTAGACTGTTTTTTTTAATAAGGAATGTTTCGTCGAAGAAGCTAAACTTCGAACCTTTATGAAAGTCCAAGAGATTCTTCTCCTCTTTGTGACATATTCGGAAAATGAACAAAAAGAATAAAAATACTATGAATTAACAAAGCAGAACGAATAGTTTGCGGAAGATATTTATTGGGTCAGTAGTTATAGAATAAAATCAAGTTAGACAAATGTTTAAGCAACTAGAAAGTAATCTGTCTAAATAATGAATAACAGAACAATCAAATCCGATTTTTATATGGAAACACATTCTTGGTTCAAGGAGTAGAAAGGTCTTCTGTGGTTGGCGGCTGCAATGCTTTCGGTTTTATCCTGATGTCTCCGAGCGACGGTGCCTATTCTATTGACGTCTTTATTCGTTTTCATGTAAAATGTCTGTGTTTGATTGTAGTTGCTGGTACGTGAAAGTTGAAGTTTTAGAGGACTTGAAAAAAAAAAATAATGTGGCCACTTTTCAAAACAAGAAAAAACTGTCCTAAAAGAAATTTGAACCTGGACTGATTTAACAAAGTTTATAATCTTTAATTTATACCACTAAACTAAGACAGTTTTTGACAATCTGTGGTAAAAAAAATGTTGATAAATAAATTAGCGGCCAAACATAGGTTTTATTGGCTTGATACAAGGACCGCTTCTGAATGTAATCATTTTTTTCAATATATCATATCGGTTAATCTGGACACAAGATCATGAAGAACTTATTTAATTAGTGTTAGAGAAGATCGGTTACCACATTGTCTAATCTGAAACATCTTTCGACTGATGCCAAAAGTAAATCAAATCATATGTTACTAGATTACAATATAAATTGAATGAGTCTAATTCCAAAGTGGCCAAGTATCTTCAATATAGTTCTTTCAAATCCACGATGGATAGATTTACACTACGTCCCAAATCTCTTACCATTAAGTTACCACGACTCAATAAGTTTGTAATAATTTAAAAGCGAGTTTGATCAATCCAATTTCTATTTGCTCGTGATTGTGTGTGTACTGCAGCCAGTCTCTTATGAAAGTAGCTTCCGTATTCAGACATGTTTATTTTTTTTTTCTGGTGTTAGGTTTTTCTTTGTTTTTTTTTGTTTTCATGATTCAAATTAATGAAAATCATGTTTTTCAAAATCCGGCTACTAGAGAATTTAACATGTGGATTCTCCAGCATCCGATATCGAAGACCATTATAGATGAATCACATGGTGATGTTCTGGTAGTATCCTTACTCGTTTCGGTCTCTAGTGTGTAGCATTTCGGTGGAGTCAGACTACTCGATTAGCAAAAGAAAACTTATGTTTTTTGTTGTAGTTTGTCTTTGTTTGTTCATGTAGAACTTCTGTCTAAAATGGAAAATGCTAATAAGTTTTAACATTTTTTACTATAAAAATAACTTAAGAATACAGTCTATAACTTATCTGAGGTGACTTAATATATATATAACTTCTGTAAACATGTTGAAAATCGACATGCATGCTTCTCAAATGGCCTTTGGACTTGGGATATGCCAGGCCCATCCTGAGGTATTGGTTTAAATATATATAGCTCATGCTAGACAAGAGATAGCAACAAGAAGTGTTTGTTATTCTGTTGAAAAAGGAATTGTAGAAAGAGAGAGTCGTCTTTCTTATCTGTTTCAAAACACATCTTCGGGTTGAGAAGTGTGGTAAGCATGGACTGATAAGATCACATCCTTAGAGGATGATTATTCTTCTTTTACGTAAACGCCACGCTCGAAAAAAATTGTCATCCTTACAACTCAAACTGCTAAAAAAAAACTTAAAACGTTCCTATCCTAGTCTTGAATATTCGCGTTAAGTGCTCGCTTCAAAATTCGTAATCATACAAAACAACACAAAGTAGCAGCCCAGGCGCATTTGCACAAAGATTTAATTATTAAATTAATTACTATTAAAAGAAAGGAAATGCTCATACAAGAAATCAATTTAAATACGTTGTTAAAAAAAAGAAATCAATTAAAATAACTAAAACTAAAGTTTGATCGATCAAACGGAAGCCGTTAGATCATTCATCCAAAGGAAGAAGAATTATAACAGGATCACAAAAAAAAAAGCAAAACAAAAAAAAAAACAGTTTATTTTTTTTTATTTTTCTCAAGTCAACAAAGAACAACGAAACAAAACAAAAGAGGTCCGAAGAACTTTGAATGTTGTTATCATCATCATCATCGTTGTAATCGCTTTTTTCTCATCTGGGTATGTCTTCTCTTAACCTCAATTTATATAATCAATTCATAGAATGCACACCTTCCATCTTCTTCTCGTTATCTGATTATCTCCATCGCGTTTCATTTTGAGATTATTACAGAACCTGGAATCTCCCAAAGGTCTTGTCTTTTCCTTTAGATTGTTCTGGGTTTCATCTGATTAAGGACTTTTCTCGAATTTTTTTTTCAGGTTCGTGATTTGATTCTGTTTCATAAAGCTGTAACCTTGATCCTAGATTCAAACCTTTTCATGTTTTATTTTCAATGCTTTTTTATCAGATGATGAAGAGAATCTAATTAAGGATTAAAAGAAAGTATGTGGAAACAGATTCTAAGTAAGCTTCCAAACAAAAAGTCTTCCAAAAACGAACACCACCATCGTGGAAGCCATTCATCATCATCATCATCATCTCATGCTTCTACTTCCAAAAGCAATGATAATGGCGTCAAGAAACAACCAATTCATTCACAGACAAAGCACGAGAGATCCACTTCTTCTGACGTGAAGAATCCAAAGAGCAGCAACAACAATGGAGTCTTCACTCCTTACGAAGCGTTACCGAGTTTCAAAGACGTTCCCAACACAGAAAAGCAAACCCTATTCATCAAGAAACTAAACCTGTGCCGTGTAGTGTTTGACTTCACTGATCCCACAAAGAACATCAAGGAGAAAGAGATCAAGAGGCAGACATTGCTTGAGCTTGTGGACTACGTGAACTCCGCAAACGGGAAGTTTAGTGAAGGGAGTGTTCAAGAAGTCGTGAGGATGGTCTCTGCCAACATCTTCAGGACGTTGAATCCTCAGCCACGCGAGAATAAAGTTATTGATGCGTTGGACCTTGAGGAGGAAGAGCCTTCTATGGATCTTGCTTGGCCTCATTTGCAGCTTGTCTACGAGCTTTTCTTGAGGTTTGTTGCTTCCCCTGAGACTGACACCAAGCTGGCTAAAAGATACATTGACCAATCCTTTGTCCTGAGGTTACTAGACTTGTTTGATTCCGAGGATCCTAGAGAGAGGGATTGTTTGAAAACAATACTCCACAGAATCTACGGTAAATTCATGGTTCACCGTCCTTTTATAAGGAAATCCATCAACAACATCTTCTACAGGTTTGTTTTCGAGACAGAGAAACACAACGGGATCGCCGAGTTTCTTGAGATCTTGGGGAGTATCATCAATGGATTCGCTCTTCCTTTGAAAGAAGAGCACAAAGTGTTCCTCGTTAGAGTTTTGATACCTCTGCATAAACCGAAATGCTTGCAGATGTATCATCAGCAGCTGTCTTATTGTATCACTCAGTTTGTGGAAAAGGATTGCAAACTTGCGGATACGGTTATTAGAGGGTTGCTGAAATACTGGCCCGTGACGAATAGTTCTAAAGAAGTTATGTTTTTGAATGAGTTGGAGGAAGTACTTGAAGCTACTCAGCCACCAGAGTTCCAACGGTGTATGGTGCCGTTGTTTCGCCAAATTGCTCGGTGTTTGAATAGTCTGCATTTTCAGGTACCTGTAAAGCTACTTATTCAACTCTATGTTTTTGAATACTCTTTGTTTGTAGGCCATATTGTTTGGCATACTCGATTGTGTCATCATTTTTATATATGTTTGAAGTAATGAAAGCATTGCTCCAAATCGCTAGGCGGCTGTTAAGAGCTTTATATGAGATTATTGATTAGTCGGGCGCCTAGACCGATTTTTTAGAAAAATTGTTTAGTTTAGGTCTCATTTACCAACTAGACGGACGTTTAGACCGATTTTTAGAACATTGAATGATAGTATTAATGTTTAGGACTGTTGTATTCTGCCCTGGATGATACTTACTTGAGAAAGTTGGTTGAATAAATCTATTTATTAAGGCTATTGTTGAATAGAAAGCTATGCAACCAGGAGATGTCTTTGGCATTGAAAGTCTAGTTAGGTTCAGGATATAGTGAGTATTGACTAAGTTTCAGACTATAACATGCATCTGTGTTTGTTTTTTTTGGGCAGGTTGCAGAGAGAGCTTTATTCTTATGGAACAACAATCACATAGAGAATCTGATAATGCAGAGCCGCAAAGTCATTCTCCCAATCATATTCCCTGCGTTGGAGAGAAACGCGCAGAAACATTGGAACCAAGCTGTTCATAGCTTGACACTAAACGTGCGGAAGATATTCCAAGACCTTGACCCCGAGTTATTCAAAGAATGTCTTGCTAAGTTCAAAGAAGATGAATCAAAGGAAGGTGAAACCAAGGCCAAACGTGAAGCCACTTGGAAACGGTTGGAAGAAGTTGGGATGCGAAAGGGTTAATGTGTGGTTAGAGCTGTGTAGAGAAGAAAAAGGAGAGAGCTCTCGTGTCTTCGATTTGGCATGTGGTTGGTATATGTGCACTCCACAGGTACTTGTGATATCAAAATTCCGGAGAAGCATTGAAGATAAGTTTCAAACTTTCAATATTGGTCTCTTCTTCCAAGTTCCCATTATTTTTATTTTTTTTCTTGTTTCCTGTAAAATCTTCTTGTTAATGGTTTTATTTTGTTGCTACATTGTCTATTATGTTACTCGTTCTTGAGACTGTTCTGGTTCATTCATCTTTTGCTTTGATACCTGCAAAATTGCAGCTTTGGGGGTTTGCCACGCTAAAGAATCAGTTTGTTGTTTGTATTAAATACATTTTCCTTTCGAATTTACAATAAGAAAAAAATCGTGATTTTATCAAAAGTTTTGGTTTTGAATCTCAGTTTATCTAATTGGTTTTGAGTTTTGGGTTATGATAGGTCTGCGATTTTGAACCGAACCCACCCAAACCGAACCAGACTCTCAGTTAGTTTAGTTCGATTCAGTAGGTTTTAACAAAATTTGGTTTTTAGTTCGGTGCGCGGTTATTTCAATTTTCTTAAAAATATCTAACCAAACCATACAAAAATTAAAACAAATTAACTAAATTTTCAACTGAAATAACTGAACTTATCCGCAATTTTAACAAAATTAAAACAAAATCTATCAAAAATACAAACCTTTAGTTGAATTTTCAAAATCCGAACCAACCGAATTGAACGGATAAATTCGGTAAGGTTTATGTCGAACCAAACTAATAAAAAAAAGGTAAAAAACCGGAACTGAACAACCGGAACTAATCGAACCCTCAGGTCTAGTTGTGGACATGCTGTCCCTTGTTCAGACAGAGTAACTTTTCTCTGGTCATGCAGTCTTCTCTCAGTCACCATCCTCTCTTTAACTTTCTAATCTTCTATCCACTTCCTTTTTCTCTCTCCACATGCCAACGAAGCATTAGCTATTGAAAATCTAAACCCTTCTCCTTCTTCTTTTTTTCCTCCTTCCTCTACTTAGATTACTTCTTCTTCATTCTATGATTCATTAATCCAGATCTTGCTTGATTCATGATATAAAAAATAAAACATACTACTTTTAGCTCTGAGTTGTAGTCTTTGTCTTGATGACTAATCAAATCGAGATCTAGTCAATAAGACATGTTCTTATGTATGGTGAGATGATCTTAGATGTTTCTGAGATCTGACTCTTTTCTTTTTTTTCTGTTGAAGTTTGACTAATAGATCCAGAAGAAGATGTTTAAGCAGATTCTTGGGAAGCTTCCTAAGAAACCTTCTACCAAGTTTTGGGACAACAGTGAGTCCCAAACTCAAGGTGATGAAGTTTCAACCCAGAGACCATCATCAAATGGAGATACCGTTTCTGTTGAAGTACTCCCAAGGTTAAGAGATGTTTCCATCTCAGAGAAGCAAGAACTCTTCCTCAAGAAGCTTAGGTTATGCTGTGTAGTCTTTGACTTCATCTCCGAGCCTCAAGGTAACCACAAGGAGAAAGAGATCAAAAGACAAACACTTCTCGAAGTTGTGGACTATGTTATCTCCTCAGGGAACGCAAAGTTCCCTGAACAAGTTATCCAAGAAGCTACAAACATGGTTTCAACTAATCTCTTCAGTACTCAACAATGGAAGAACAATAACAAAACTCAAGAAGGTGTAGATCTTGAACAAGAAGAACAAGAAGGGTCTTTAAACCCTTCTTGGCCTCACTTGCAGATAGTTTACGAGTTTCTCCTAAGACTCGTTGCATCTCCCAACACAGACGCCAAGATATCCAAGAAATATATTGATCATACATTCGTTCTCAAGCTCCTAGACTTGTTTGACTCTGAAGATCATAGAGAAAGAGAGTATCTCAAAACTATACTTCACAGGATCTACGGGAGGTTCATGGTTCACCGCCCTTTCATCAGGAAAACTATCAACAACATCTTGTATGACTTCATATTAGAGACTGAAAAACACTCCGGAATCGCCGAGTTTCTCGAAGTGTTGGGATCAATCATCAACGGATTCGCCTTGCCTCTCAAGGAAGAACACAAGCTCTTCCTCACTAGAGTGCTTGTTCCTCTGCACAAACTCAAATGCTTACCTAACTACCATCAACAGCTTTCTTACTGTGTTATACAGTTTGTTGATAAAGATTGTAAGTTAGCTGATACTGTTATTAGAGGGTTGTTGAAGTACTGGCCTGTTACTAATAGCTCTAAAGAGATCATGTTCTTGAATGAGTTGGAGGAGATTCTTGAAGCAACTCAGGGAACTGAGTTTGAACGGTGTATGGTTCCTCTCTCTCGCCAAATTGCTCAGTGCTTGAGTAGTTCTCACTTTCAGGTAGTTAGAGATCAATTACTGTTTTGTTATAAGAGTCTTCATGAGTTTTTTTACTAATGTTTCAAAAAATCTGTTAGGCGGTATCTTAGATGCTTTGTAGAGGACTAACGACTACGCGTATTATTCGGGGTCTAGGCGTTAACGAATTATTGATGTAATATAATATATTTTAGTTTTTAATTATAAAATTATTTTGATGAATTATCAAATTAGATAAACAAGTTAACAAAATTAGACCAATTGTGGGATTTGTACTAGCATTCTTGCTTAACTTAACAGATTTAGACTAATATAGACAGATTTAAACCGACTTAAAATTGTTTAAACCGATTTAAATCATATAAATCGAATTTATGCAAGCGGGAAATTGCCAATTCGTGCAGCCTAGACTGATTTTTAGAACCTTGGTTTTTTAAGGCTTGTGTGTATATGTGTGTGTAGGTAGCAGAACGGGCTTTATACTTATGGAACAACGATCATGTTAGTAACTTGGTGAGACAAAACAGTAGAATCATTTTACCGATAGTGTTTCCCGCTTTGGAGAAGAACGGTAGTAGCCATTGGAATCAAGCTGTGAAAAATTTGACGGAGAATGTTCTTAAGGTTATGTCTGATACAAATCCGGAACTGTTCCAAGAGTGTTTGCGGAAGTTTCAAGAAGATCAGCAGAATGCAGAGGATAACAAGAAGAAGAATGGTGAAACATGGAGACAGTTAGAGGAGATTGTTGCTGCAAAAGGACACACATCAATGGAGAAGTAAGAGTTTTCCACTCTTCTGCAATTTACACGATACAAAAAAAAATTGGTTTTATGTTTTTTTTTTCTTGGTCTTTAGGCCTGAAAGGTATATACAGTTTACTTGCTTCATTGCTTGAAGTCTATTGGTTTTAGACAGATGTTTGTCCTTTTTCAGTTCTTGATTTTGTCTGTCTGTATACTTCTGTTCATGTAAACATCTTCTCTACTGTCTGAAAGTGTCTTAGCTTTAAGTGAACGAGAGTTCAAGTGATGTCCAGAGACATCATTTCCAACTCCAAACCACTTTAAGAACTTTTAACTCTCTCTTCTGGAACAGCTCAGTCCAACATCTTTTTGGTCCTAGGTTTCCTCCTATTTAGGTAAATAACAGAAACATTTTGACTGCACAATTTCAGAAGCTGAAGAAGTGAGACTTAAAAGTTAAAACTCATTTCCTACAAGAAGGCCTTCAGAGAGCTTGCAATAGCTGATTCCCTCAGTTAGACAAGAACTGAGACTGCTTCTTGCTCAAGCGAGTTTCTTTGAATGTGGAGGCATGGCTTATAGGAGTTTGCATCTTGTTGAAGCTTGTGAATCTGAATGAACAAGAGATAAGCTGTTTGAAGAAGATACCGTGATCCAACCTTTTTCTCCATGTTCTGATCATAAATCTGGTGTAGATCGCTAAACCGGATCTATTTGTTGATTTAGTTCTATTTTGGGGCTTTGGATTTCAATTCAGTATAATAAAGTAGTATAGAAATAACACTTACTTTGTTATATTTACAAAATATGCAATTAGAACAAATGTTTTTAAACCCAACCCGAACACTGAACCGGATGACTTACTGGGTTACTAGGTCATCGCGGATAAACCACAAATTAATAAATGAATTAATTTTATTATATAACAAAATATTAGCTATGAAAAATAAAATAAAAACAAATTAAAGTTTAATATTTTCTATTTGGATATGTTTATATTGTATGCTCTAAAAAATTAAGAAAATACTTAACTTTAGTCTTATATTTTTTCATTTGACATACAAAATATCAAAATTAGTTTAAACTATTTAAATTTTTTTTTTTGTAACAAGTTAAGAGTTATGACATCTAAAAAAATCAAGACATAAAATTCATAAATATTTAAATGTCTAATATGAATAATAAATTAAACTTCAAATTAAAAAAAAAAAGTAAAATATCATTTTAATATTTTGTCAATAACAAAAATAAACTAACACCAAATCACATCATATTTTAGTTTTCTCTACCATCATTCACTTCATTTTTTTTCAGGAGTAATAGAGAGATTTTCATCAAAATCTAAAAATCACAAATATAAAATTGAAAAATGAAAATTTAACTTTTTAATTGGAAATTTAAAATATAAAAAATAATCTAAAACATAATTAAAAACTAAAAAAAAGAAGTAAAAGTTATCTATTGGTTTAACCGGTGGTTTAATCGATATCGGGTTTTGAGTTTTAGTGGGTTTTCGCGGATTTTTGTGGGTTTTTAAAATTTGAGGTTTTTTCACTTAATCCAAACTGAATTTGTGCAGGGTCACCGGGTATACCGGTTCAACCGCGGGTCAGGGTCAGTTACGAAACATTGATTAGAACTATATAATTTTTTTTATTATTCATTAAATATATTAATAAAAATCATTTTTTAACTATAATATTTTTTAATTATGATAAAATATGTTGAGAAAAACTTAATAAAGAATGTCTTAATTAATTTATTATATAATAATAAAATTTTAATATAAATTAATACTAATTAAGGTTTTATTATAAAATAAATATAAATTTTATGCTATTTTTTATAAATTTATAATTATATTCTATATAATATTAAACAGAAATATTACATGAAAATAAATACAACAAAATATCATCACCCACTGTTAAATTTCATTTGTTAAACTTATATCTACAACTATATTTTTATTTTTTATTTTTTGGAATTTACAACTATATATTATCCAAAATGAGTAAAATTTTTTGTTAAAATATCATTTTGTGTTTTTAAAATCGAATCTGAATCTAGATTTAATTAAATAATAGACAAAATAAGATGTGATCTTATAAATAAATACTCTGTGAGGTGGAATTGTATAGAAATAAAAAAATGTCATTTTTATCGTTTATTATTAGAGATGTCAAATAAGCCGTCCTGTCCCGTCCCGTCCCAGACCGTAGCGGACTCCACTCTGCGCGGGCTACGGCGGGTCTGTCCCGTGCGGACTGTGCTCTCCGAAAGATCGTCCCAATCCTGTCCTGCCAATATACATAGTCCCTTACAAACCGTCCCGCGGGCTGAACGCAGATGTAGTTGATCATGGCTGTTCTTGATGTACGAGGCTGTTCTAGGACGATTAAGGCTGCTCCACTACATATCTAAGCACACAAAATAAATTTATCATGACGCAGCTACTATTGAAGCTCAAAAGAATTTGTTATATCATAATCAAACTTAAAGTGCATGTTGAAAATGAGATAAGTTTTTGTAACAAGTGCATGTAATTGAGTTTCTTGATAATATAGAGTTATAAATAATAGTTATTTTGTTACATTCAAAATATATTAATATACAAAGTAAAGATAATTATAAAAGATATATTTTATTATCTTATAACTCATAAGTTTATAACCAATGTTTTGAAACTTCAAATGTAAAATTTTGGAAACTTCAACAGATATAATCTTTTTGGAGATGCTAAACACATCTCACACCTCAAAGATTCATAATTACTATTTGATATTATTTGAAAAGGGATATTTTTGTCAAAAAAAACACATCTGTTTCAGTGAATGTACTCTTCAAGCAATAGGAGGAATGTATTTCATCTAAAATTCAAGGTGACTTAATTTTTGATGAGATTTTAGATGATTTCAATGAAATACTGAGTTTAAATTGATATTTTTTAAACCAATTTAGAATATCATCTAAAACCATAAAAATTTAATTTTTAATTTTGTTTAACTAAAATATTCTATTCAGTATTCTAAAATCACTTGAATTTTTTTAAATTCCACAACTTAAAATATTTTAATAATAATATATTTCAGAGTAATTTTTGAAATGTCAAATTTAATAGCAAGGAATTTTAATTGAATTATAAAAATTCATTTTAAATAACAGTATATTTGTCATTTTAATAAGAATCACATAAAAATCATTACTATTAAATTTGAAACATATCCAATTGATAATAGTTAAGTCCAACTTATAATTTAAATAATACATTATATCTCTATAATATTATTTGAGAAGTCACTTTCCTAGGTGTCGATCTCACGTTAACTCTTGCGATGGTTGATTACATAGATACCCTTAATGAATTGTTAGATTTTAAGATTATTATTAATTTTTAATGTAATTTCTTTTTTACTTTTTTCCAAATAACATATATAATAAAAAATAAAAATATTTCTAAAATTTTAAAACGAAATTATATTTATATAATATGACTTTATTAAAAAGGAAAGTTCACAAAATAGTAATACCCCCATTAATATATATTTTTAAATAACATAAAATATATTTTCAAAATAATAAAAATATATATGTTCATGAACATCCAAAAATTTATCAGTTATACTTTATTTTCTAATATTTTTTTAGAAATCAACATATAATTTGACAAATATTATGAAAATATAATTTGATTTGACTTAACTAAAATAAAGAGTAGATAAATATTATGAAAATACATGTATAATTAAGCGATACATAAAACTATTTTGATTTGATTTAACTAAAATAAAAAATAATTATACTTCAATTTTAATTTAAAAATATAACTCAATATACTCACAAAATGAATGACTCGACTAATCTAATTTATATCCAAATTAAACATCTAACTACAATAAGAACCTATAATTTATTAATAATAATATATTTAATTTTATACATATAAGAACATCTAATTAAGAATATATGTACATATCTAAGACAATAACCAACCAAAATGAAATAAGAAAATTAATAGCTGAAATCGAAAAAATAGATATTATCCAGTATACCAAATTGATAACCAAACCGACTATTGATCCAAAACATAATTAAATCGACAATATCCAAAGTCATACGTATAATTAGAGTAATATAATTTATTAATATAATTTATATATATATTGATTCAAAACTAAAACTAAATATCAACCAATTATTATAAAATTTTACTTTTATGAATATTCATACCCGTGCATGAGCACGGAAAATCACCTAGTTTTACTATAACTGTAAGAAAAAATGTAACCACCACTTTATTTGCTAAATAATTGGCGGCCACCACCATATAATGTAACCAACACTTTTTAAAATAACTTCCATCTAAATTCTCGGAAACACATATAGTACATACAATTTTTGTTTTTGAAAATATATATTACCTACAGTTATATATATATATATATATTAACAAATATTCCTTCTTTTGGGTTTATATTTAACCTGGTTTGATCCTAAACCTTTTTTTTTATTTAATCATCATTCTATGGATTTAAGTGGAATGGATTTTGAATATTTTATAATTTTAAATAATAACATTAAATAATTATATATGAAATCAAATCATGAAAATTTAATGAAAATATGTAATTTTATCTATTTAATTTCTAAAAAAATTATAAATATACTTTGTTATTTAAAAAATAATAACTAACCACAATTTAATAATAAAGTACAAAATTAATGTATAAAATGGCTATGACACAATTGTATAGTTATGCAACATCACAAATTCAATACATTTATCAAAAATTCTTACTAATAATTTTTTAAAAAATATTATACACAGTATAAATTAATTTTTATAACATATAAGAAAAAAGTGCAGAGAAATGTAATATATTTACACATAAAACAAAACAAAAAATAGATTCCAACATTATACCGGAACTCAAAGCACGGGTTAAGATCTAAAATAGATAAATAAGATTACAAGGAAACGAACATATATGTATATAATTACAAAGAAACGAGTGAATGTCGGCGGATCGATTTTTAAATTGCTTTTATTTTATAAAATAGATTTTGATTAAGATTTAGACATAAACATGATAATACAAAAAAACATAAATATAATTCCAAAAAATACAAATATAAAAATTAAACTTCTAAAATAAAAATAAAACAAAACAAAATATATATCCGATCCGCTCTTTCAAAGGCTGGTCAAGATCTAGTGTTGGTTTAATACACCTCAAGGTTTTTTTAACAAGTCCTCCTCCTACTCCTTGCTTCCATCTCACGCAACCAGCGGAGCTATGAAGATAACCGCCTTGTTTGTTCTCAAGTGCGCACCAGAAACTTCGGATCCCGTCATCCTCGCCAACGCTTTCGACGTCTCTCACGTCTACTCTTTTAGTCAATATAACGTCAAGCAGTTACTCGTCTTCACCGGTCGCACTGTCGCCAGCCGTACCCCTCCTTCCCAACCTCAGTCCATCCAGCACGGAGGTTCCTTCTCCTCTCTTCCCTCTTTTTGCCTTTTTTTTTTCAAAATTTGATGATTAGGGTTTTGGGGGTAATTGTTGTGTGTTTGTTGTTTTGATGGAAATAGAGTACAAGGCACACGCTTACAATAGAAACGGCCTTTGCGCTGTGGGATTAATGGACGATCATTACCCTGTTCGTAGTGCCTTTTCTCTTCTCAATCAGGTTTCATTCGTTACTTCCTTGTGTCTTCTAGTTATATCAGGAGGGAATGATTTTGATGATAATCAATTACTGATTCTCAGGTTTTAGATGAGTACCAGAAGAGTTTTGGTGAGACATGGAAGTCTGCTAAAGAAGACTCCACTCAACCTTGGCCCTACCTAGCCCATGCTATTACCAAATTTCAGGTTCTTTCTTCACTTGTTTATTCTCATGTTAAACAAAACTCTAGGTATTAGTTGAATAAAAAATCCAACTTCTTTAATCAAAAGTAAAGAATCCAACTTTACTGAGTTAACCAATGTGGGTTTGGGGTAGTGATACTTGAGGGATAAAAATAACCCGATATGGTCCGGTTTCGATTCTCGTTGGCCACCTTGCCATCTAGATAATGTGTGTCTGGATGCAAGGTCACTAGGGTTAGGTCTGTCTCTTTAATAGATCTTGGTTTAAATTTTTCTTTTTTCAAAAAAAAAAAACCTTTACTGAGTGACTCCTCATAGACTAATTTATTTTTTTGACCCATGTTGAGATTCTGGGTTTGTTTAAAGTTGTTTCTTGTCTTGCATTGTATGTTGTGATCTTCAGGACCCAGCAGAGGCTGACAAGCTGTTGAAAATGCAGAGGGAGCTGGATGAGACCAAGATTATCCTTGTAAGTTCTGCACTCTCTTTTCCTGAGCTGTGTTGTCTCTAAAATAATAGTATGATGTTCTGTCAATGAATTTCGTCTATTCTGTAACTTCAGAACGATAAACTCTTGCAGATTCGATAAAATGTTTGCAGTCTCCTCAAAACTCTGAATCCTTTTTTTTTTATTACAGCATAAAACCATTGATAGCGTTCTAGCCCGTGGTGAAAAGCTAGACAGCCTAATGGAGAAGAGCTCAGATTTGAGCATGGCAACGCATGTAACATTCTAACATTTCCTTACTACCTTTTCCAAGCTTTCATTTTTCATTGTCTCGGTCTCTCTAAGCTTAGTTGGTAGAAACAGCAGGATATGAGCGAGCTGGAAAGTGTTGTATATAACTTTTGCATGTTTTCTAAACTATAGCATGTCATTTGGTAGATAGACAGAGAAGCTATGTGGACTCTAAACTGATTTTTGTTTTTTTTGGATGAAACAGTTGTTCTACCAGAATTCTAAGAAAGCAAATTCATGCTGCACTATTCTATGAGCTGCTGCTACTCTGGAGTATTTATAGTCGGAGAGAGGTTGTTTTTCCTTTTATATGTACTGACTCGAGTCGTGTGATGTGTCATCGAAATACAAAAAAAAAATGTCAATTTCAAACTGTCTTTGCCACATTATATGATGGGCTTATTAGCCGGATAACTATGTTTGAGTGGTAAATTAAGTAAGTAGACATGATTTTGACATAATGTATTGTCAGATTTTTTGTCTTCTTTTTATCCGGTTATGTTCCTACAAGAAAAAGGTTACCAGTTGCATATTATAAAACAAATGACGTGTTCATTTTCTGTGGTATATTGCAATCGCATAATTCACGAAACGCGTGGAAGAAATTTATTCAACATATATAATGTGTTGTTCATTCTGTATGAGCATATGGAACAGAAAAGGTGACAAACAAACTATTCTATCTAGGTTGCACATATACTATTTTATTTATGTGACATAGCACATCACTCAAACCGTTATTGAGAACTAGACATATAAAACCAACCACAACACCTAAATAATATACCCAAATCTCTATTTAGTAAACCTAAACACTATATTCTAATCACTACACCCTAACTCCAACTATCCCCTTCCCTTTCTAAATACTAAACCCTAAACCATAATCACTAAACCCTAAATTCAAATATAAATCTTAAACCCAAAAATAAACCCTCAACATAAACAGAATGGAACTATATAAATAACATAGTACATGTTGGAAAAAAGACTAGTATGGAAGCCTATACCTTATAACTAGGGTTTATAGTGTTTAGTTTGATCAATACACATAAATTAAGATTCATAACAATGATAAAACAACAAACATAATTTATGCTTATGGATTGTACAATCATATTTCTATTCTATATTCTGCAAATAGAATAGTATACAATAAATAGTAAAGATCAAACCTTCCATTTTACATGAATGGTCTTTCCATTTTACGTATACATGAGCTATTCAACTTATATATACATTACGTCATTATTGTCATTTCCAAATTAATGGGAGTTGATTAATAAGTATAAGTACAAACAGTTAATTCGTAGAAAGATCATAAGAATATATAACAAATGTTTATTTATTATAAAATACATTTCTATTCGAGTGCACCAAATAAAATAGAACAAAATAAATAATAAATTACAAATAAAATGACTAGAGATGGAACTGATGGAGTAGTGTAGAAAGAAAAACAAGGGGAAGGTGAGGAACCATGGGGAGCAGTGGTGATGGAGAGAAGCTTGTGATGGCAATGAAATTACCACAGCTCAAAGTCTTTCTCAGTCACCAACTGGCGTGCTAGAAGATAATGGAGAAACATAACGGAGAAGGTATGGGCCCCCATCCGCATAACTTGACCAAACTGCAAGGCATGCAACATCGCAAGGTCCTCATCCTCTAATGCACCCTTTATTACCTCAAGCCAACGGAGGTTGAAGTAGTTGTTCACCCTTTTCTTTCCAGTGGGTTCACACCCTGTTTCAAACAATCTAGGTGGTTGGCCTAACTCGTCCATGTCAAACCTACAATGCACAAAAAAATATGCGAGAATAGTGAGTACACATGAAAGAGATAAAGGTAAACCGGACTATGTAGAGTCGTATTCTATTCTATCGTGGATGGAGTAGCTCAAAAGAACAATATACTATCTCTCCATAAGTATAGATACTAGCAGGACCGTTACTCATGTAAGCTGTACTATGTTATATGTATTTCATTCTATCAAAGATGGAGTAGACTACAAGACAATGTACTCTTCATGTTAAAGTATAGATATCACACTACAAGATAACAATTTTTTTACTAAGGCTATATCCGTGGTTAATTCATCGTAATAGGACATTTACAACGAATTAACTAGGAAACGCGTTTCGTTGTTAATCGCCCGTCGTAATGCACATTTCGTCGTAAAGACCACGTAACGTTACGAGAAACAGGTTTCGTTGTAAAGGAGAAGTAGAATATTTCGTCGTAAGATCGACGTTAACCAGCGACGTAAAGTCCACGTTTCATTTCAAAGTAATTACCACGTAAAGATTCGATGTTAAGTCGATGTAAATTTACGAGTAGATTACTAGTAGAACATGTAAAGTCGTAGTAAATATTACAACGAACTTACTTGTAATTAGATGTTAAGTCGTTGTAATGTTTACAACGAAATTACTTGGACTGTTTATATATAATTTATAATTTAAAAAAAGTTTTATATATTTTTATTTATAAATTTTGTAATTTAAAAATATAAAACCAAAAAATTTTAAAATTAAAATTGTTTAAAAAACATTATATTAAAAAAGTCATAAATAATATATAAATTTATAATACAAAAGAAAATAAAATAAAATAAAACTACGGCATGTTGGTGCGGAGGTATTCGTCGGGGCGGCTGAGTTCCGGGCCGGGTCGACCGGTTGACTTAGGAGGATGCTGCTCCATTCCGAGAGCCGCTCGTCTTGCATTTAGTGCTCTCTGCATAACCGGGTTAGCGATGGCCACGATGTCCAACAAATCCTCAAGTGAGTCCAAACGCACCTGCTGGGACTGCATCTGAGACCGTAGCTGAGAAGTTTCCTCATCCCGGCGCGAAGTGTACGAAGAAGTTTCCCTTGGAACTTCGTTAACGGAGCCTATTCCCACCGTCCGTCCCTTCTTTCTAGGAGCCACCTTGTTTCAAAAAAGGTTCATTAATATTGAAATAATAATTAATAAAATCGAATTAATATAAACAAATTAAAATTTATTCAAATATTTTACCTCTTCGAAAATCCGATTGACTTCTTCTGTAGTCAATGTGACGGGTGACCCATCGGGAGCCTGCTGCGTTAGTTGTGTCTGCCGCTCCTCAACCCGAGAAACCACATTGTTATAGAGTCTCTCGGAACGTGGATCCACAAAAACTCCCTCTGGTGTGGCGTGAGTCATCCTGAATAGCTCAGTCAGAGATGGCATGACCCGGTCTTTTTTTAATTACTTAATTAGCAAATAATAAAAAAAAATATTAAAAATAAAACTTACAACATCTAGACGAATCCCAGCGTGCGGCTTTTGGCCGGTTCTATGAAGCATGGGGTCATTGCCGTACTTATCCTTCGTTCTTCGGGAAGAAGAGCAGGAGTTGGACTTTTTGATGGAGGTAGGGAGGCTCCAATAGCGGATGAGACCATTCCATACAAAGTTGGAGATCTCCTTAGGCTTCCCTTCATAACCGTAGAGTTCCCATTTATCCTTCCAATCTGAGACGGTGTTGCAAAGACGAGTCTTGGCTTTTGCTTTAAAAGCCTCCTTCACCTTCTCGTTGATCGATAATGGCCAATGCCAGTTTTGCTGAAACAAAAAAAAGATGATTTTAAAATATTAAAAAAATAATATTAAAATAAATATTTAATATTATAAAATCATATTTACCGCAAAACATTTTAAACCACGTTATCTTCACGTGGTCTGGAGTCATACTCCAATTCGGATGGGGCTCGAGAAAATACCCCTTCATCGTGTCTGAAACACTCCGGCTAACGCGATTGTTTGCTCCAAACCTAGAAAAATATAAATTAAAAAAATAAATGTCATCAGTCATCAGTTTATAAATAAAAAATTACGAATTAAAAAAAAAAACTTACCAATAAGTACTCCGCGGACGATCGGGGTCCAGAATATCTAAACCTTCTCGCCCCGGTTGGGCAAGAAGATCCTCCACAGTATAGGAAGCATATGGTGCACTGGGAGGTACCCGCAAATCTGGATGAACCTGATCACCGCCTGCGGGAATATTCATCATCCTAGCTGCTAGAGACAGTTTAGAGTGACCTTCTCTACAACCAGTGTAGATTGGTTGATTTGCAGCATCTAGCATTTCATAAAACCTTTTTGCATCCAAATTAGGTTCTTCAACATGAACAGTTTCATCTGCTATTGTTGTAGTGGTTTCTAAAAATACATCAGTAATCATGTCGTGAACCCTATCATGATCTACCATCTGTTCAACACCCTGATTATTACTGACATTCCGAAAATTACTATTACTACTACTAGCTTCATTTCCTCCATAACCCTCCCCATGTTGAAACCAAATATAATACTGTGGTGTAAAACCTCTGTGTACTAAATGTTTCCAGACAGTTTCCGTACGAGCAAANTCCGAAAATTACTATTACTACTACTAGCTTCATTTCCTCCATAACCCTCCCCATGTTGAAACCAAATATAATACTGTGGTGTAAAACCTCTGTGTACTAAATGTTTCCAGACAGTTTCCGTACGAGCAAATTTTGAATTCTTGCATTTCTGACAAGGACAGAACATCTTACCACTTTCCTGCGTGAGCGGTGTACATGCAGCCTGGTTCATGAACGTCTCAAGCCCGCTAAGAAATTCATTCGTCACTCTGCCGTCGGAATCTTTATGCGTATACATCCAACTCCGCAATTCGAAAATATTTCTTCCATCCGACATTTTTTTGATTTCTTTTTGTGTGGTGGTATGAATTGAGAAATGAGAAATGCTCATATATATAGCAAACCCACGAAAATTGGTAGGTGAAAATTTACAACGTATTTACAAGGAACATATTTACATGGATATTACATGTCTTTAACATATAGGTTACAACCTGTTTACAACGACATCAGTTACACATTAAAGTCGTGTTCACCTACCAGTATTCGTCGTAAAGCCATAGTAAATTTACGACGAATTTACAACGAAAGTTAAAAAAAAATTTGGATAAATTTTTTTCTTCATTACTTAAACAAACCTAAAATGCGTGGACAGTTACCAGAACAGTTCTCATCAACTTCTCGTATCTATTTATCGACTTCTCGAAAAAAAGTTACAAGGATTTGATTAGAACTGTTCTGGTGACTGTTCACGCATTATAATTTCTTCAAAAATCGATACATAAGTTATCGATTTTTTTTTCTACGAAATTTTTTTCTTTCTACGAATTTTTTTGTTTTTGTTTGTGGTGTTCTTAGGAGTGAGTATGAATGACAT